GACAATGCTGCTCATCTCTTCCTCCCAACCCACCCCCACCCTTCTCTCTCCTGCGCTCATCCACTCATTCCCCGCGTTCCATCACCCATACATCCCCATCATCCATATATCAAAATGTGCATTCAATTATTGTTGCTATAATGATGATTTATCAAATCATTTATGCTCCCTCTAAGAATTACTCATCGCACAGCCAGTTCTGACTTTTGTGTCATTCAAGCGGGAGGTTAGGAGCTCACTTTTTTTTGGCCCTATTCATGTAGGACAGTTTCCTTTCTGCAGTCTAAGGTTATATGTTTAGAAAAGGAATCAAAACGTGAGTGGGCCGTTTTGAGCATGCATGTGTGTGTGTGAGTGTTGAGAGCTTCCAAAGCACTTAAGCACTGCTAATACAAGGAAACAACCACAATGGAGAAGATTCGGTTGGAAAGACGATGAGCATTTAGGTAGAAAGGTGTGTTCCAGCGTAGTCCAGGTCCAGATGCCCTTTCTTTCTTATTTCTTCCACTTTTTCGTTTTTTTTACGGTCTTTTAGTCAAGCCTATAGATGGCCTTGTTTAGGTAGTTGTCGTCTTTTAAATGCTCAAGCAGAGAGTCTGATTAAATTGTCATTTTTTGACACAGTGTAAGAGATTCAAAGAAAAAAAGAATGATATAGTGGAACAGGAAAGAGATGGATACAAGGGAAAGAAATGAATATTGAGGATAAGAAATGAATGACCGTGCCGCCTTTCGGCTGACAGTGAAATATTCCTCCTCTCATCCAACCATCATGCTTCATGTGTGTGCCTGATGGGGGGAGAATGACAGACCAGCCCACCTTCTCAACACTATCTTTTGTTTTTGTTTTGTTTTTTTCCACCTTCTTCTCCTTCCTGACCCTTATACTGTATGTGCACTTTGGGTTTCCTTTATTTGCTATTTAAATGGTTATAATATGTGAATGTATCATTATATTCAATTAGTCTATTTATATACTTTTCAGTTTTTACCAGATCAAACATGTGGGTGTTTAACCACATTTCTCTGCTCAATTATAAACTCAAAGACCATATACGTCCAGCTGTAAAAGAGGAGTTCAATTGCGCAGATAAATACAAACAAGATGTTTACAATTTTTTTATTTTTATCTTCTGACTTTTTTTGGTCTTTAGTTTGACAAAAACTAAAGTAGCTTTGTAAACAGGAATGCAAACCTGTGTACCTATTGTTAAAAATGCAGGTGCATTATGTCTAGAGTAAAATGCCGCAGGAAAATGTACCTGGTGCTGCTCTTGTGCATCTCCATGCATGATTCACAAACAGTAACCAGGTCCTGAATAGGTTGGTCAATCTTTCAAATACGTTTTTTTTCTTTATTTCAAGGTTCAATGAAATAAAAATTAAAAAAATTTAGAAATATATCTAACTTTCATATGCAAGAGTGAATTTACCCCATAATGCACTTTTTTGTTTAATTGAACAGATATTGATAAACAAAAAAGCTGCGGGAAACACAGATGAAGTTAATGCTTTGAAATTTTGCAGCTTAATATAGAGTATTTTTAGGCAAACATCTTTAGACTGTGCAAATATTTGAACATATACTCATATATATAAAATTTAAAAAGCAGATGAAACAGTTCTTGCCCTCAGGAGGAGCATTCCTTTGCGCAGCTGATCCGCTCTTTCCCTCACCCCTGCTGATAAGTCATTTTTCCTTTATCTCTGTCTTCCTTCACGATTCCTCGCCACCACCGCCACACGCGCACACTCTTCTCCTCTTCCTCCCCACACACCCCTCCCTTGTGAAGCTGTCACCTTTCTGCACCCGCTCAGTCCCTATTAAGGCCGACAGCCCATCTGCCGCCTGCCCCGCTAACAGCTCCCGTCGCTAACGCTAACGTGCACACACACACATCCGCTCAGACACACACACACAGGGCTTCAACCAACCCCACCTGCCCTGATGTGCCTTTGGTTACAAGGAGCAACATAAACAACATTCAGAGGAGAATATGCACATGTTCCCAATCATTTAATTGTTTTAGGACTAAGATGTAAATTTTAGATAAAGTATTTTACATACCCTGGGCTTATGCCAAGCTATGAAGAATTAATGATAGTATATTTTGTTATATTTGTTGGAAGCTTGGGATCAGCTTATAAAGAGCTGTATAACGATTGCTGCAACTCTACTGTTAAAACGGCCTAATTTAGTTTCTTTTTTTTTTTTTTGCAAACCAGTTTTTGTGTTGCAATTAAGCTTCGGAAATCCTTTCAATCTGCTCCTTTCCATTTCAGCTTTTCTGCACAACTAACTCTGTCACATATACTTTTTGCTCTAATCTCCAATATATAAAAACGTTTATGTAAACTGTCCGAATTAGTCTGGAAACTATCGTTAAGCACATTTAAGAATGTAGGTTCTCAGTGTAAAAGAACACACTGGCCTGACTAGAGGGGTAATTAGGTAGGGCAGTTGCGGCTCTGCATGCAAGTGTGTGTACGGCGTGGCTTTTGCTCCCTTTAGGGATATATGTGTGTTGCATTAGCAAGACTGGTAACTGTCTCATCAATCACCGCATCACTATGTCTCACACACACAGATGCAATCACCAACACACAAACCTTGTTGTGGTCATTCTGTTCACAGATGGAGCAGCAACACATGACTGAGTCACTGAGCATCAGAAAGACACCCTCAATATCCCTTCCTCCCAACTTTAAACTCACACACCCATTCAGTGTACGTATTTGGACTGCTTACGCATAAGGATGGGAGTGGGAAGTGTGGTTTAGAAGAATCACTCAGATTAATACTTTCATCTTTCATTTAACAGAAGGGTGAAGTATAATATCCTTTACCAATCACATCACATTACTATTGAATGATTGAATTTCAAGAAGTTTTAGGGATGTCCAATAAAAAAAACCACTCAATTATAGGTGTGTCTTTGTGATTTGCAGTAGTTTTAGGTTAATAAAAGTAAACAGAGGAAAAAAAAATTCCTCGTCTGCAAAAAACTTTTTAAAGATAATTGAGTTCCAGACTTTAAAAAAATGGGCTTTCTTTTTAACACAGTATGTCTGTATTTGCAACACTTCTGATATAAAAATTGCTTTCTTTTATCTTTATAATCCTCTTTTTTCATCTCTTCACTTTATACTGGCTTAAAGGATAAACAGTCCTCTTCATAGTAATTATGAGATAGAGTAAGGCCCTCCGTACTGAAACTATCATATGGCTTTTGGTACTGAATATACTTCAGTCTGGTTACACTAAGATACACTCCAATAACAAAAAAACTGCAGTATTCAGTGTTGCCTGTCTATATAGCATTTTGACACCACAACCAAAGCCAATAAGCGTCTCTAGCAGTAGTGGCAGCAGAAAGATATTGATTTCTCCTATTCACCAGAGTGGAACTAAAACCTACATATTACACAGCCTGGCCTCTACCTCGCACTGCACCAATGCTGCTCTGTGCCTCAATTGAGGGATTGCTGTCACACATGTCATTGGTCTGTCTCCTTTTCTGTCAACCTGCTTTACCTAAAAAAGCTACAACATCCCAAACCATACACTCCGTATTTAAATAGAAAATAGATTTACCAATATATGTTTTATATGTTACTGTATTACAGTGATAAACATTGAAAACAAAAATGTAAAAGAAAGATCAAAAGTATTAAATTGATAATAAAAAGAAGAATAAATAGAATGAAATAGAAGTTAAATACGTTTATTTTTGCAAGTAATTAATATATGAATAAAATATTGGTATCTAGCAAAAAAGAACATACTAAAATATATTTTCAGCAAGCAAAGCACATATTTGATTATAAATGAAATCCTACATACGCAGCACATGCATATCAAATTGTATCAACACACACACACATGCAAATTCATACATGTTTTAAAAACAATCACTTAAACCAGCATTTTCTTAAATGCACACATTGAACAATAATTTATTTGTTTTTTTTTCAGTTTTTCTGTTTAAAAAAAAAAAAAAAAAGCTGAAAAGCAGCATCTCAATTTTCATAAAGGAGACGCCTTTTTACTCTGATAAGTTTGCTCAGAATTTCTTTAAGGAGTATTTTATGAAAATATTCTTCTTTTTTTCTTCTCACTCTGTATGATGATGAGAAAATGTCCTCTTTTAAGTGAAATTGTTGTTTTTTTTTTTTTTTTTTTTGTTTTTTTTTTTTTTTAGAAATAGATCACTTTGATTTTTTTGTAAACCACTGATTTTATCAACTTTGCAACAGTTCTCCACCTCAGAGCAGACTGTGACTGATGGATGGGAGACTCTCCCATGGTGTTTTTAAGATTATCTTTCCTCATTCCTAAAGCATTATAAAAGGTGAAAACTAGTAAAACTCCCTTGATGCTCATGTGAAATGTGCTCTGGTTAACGTTCAATGATGCATACCTACAACGACTGATCTGTCTGATTGAAATGTGTTAACACAACAAGACAAAAGCCTCTACTGGTTTTAAATTACAACCTGTCCTCTCCACAGCTCTCGGGAGGCAGTCTGCGCATCTGCCTGTTCACCCAGCATGTCAGCTTTTGTGTCAGTTATGTTGCTTTGTGTGTGTGTGTGAGAGCCTCTTTTTTATGGCCTGCATCTCTATGTCCAAACTGTGCAGAGTGGCTTCACACTGAGGTCAAACAAATAAGCAAAATTAGCATGTGGAAAGTGATTGTCTGCATGTTGTTTCTATTAAATACATTTCACCCACATCCGTTTGTCTCCCATTGCATTTATCATATTGATGTTCTTGTATGCTGAGTTTTTTTTCTTTTTTTTTTTTTTACTGAAAACAATTGAATTTCAGAAAAATGTGTACAGAATTTAAGGATTAAGCAAATCATATTTTTTTTCTGTTTAATAAAACAGCTGTAATTAAAAAGCTTGTTTAATTCTACTTTTTTGTCTTTTCCCCATTGGCTGCTTTTACACTCTTATCATTCTCTTTCTCCCCCCTGAAACTTCCCGCCACTCAGAATGAACTTATCGAAGGGTCCATTGGTGAACAGCAGCAGCGAAGAAAACTCCAAGTCAACATATGTTAAATGCGGCGCTGGTGCCTGGAGGATGCACCAGAGCTACGATTCACTGGAAGCCAACCACATGAGAGACGCACATGCCCTCTACAACCCCAGGTAAGATAGAAATACAAACGATGCAAGTGATGGCAAATCAATGAGCCTGGCCTGCTTAAGTTTTACACAAAAGTCACACACTCTTCCTGACACAAGAGGGAAAAGAAAAGGCAAGCACACCGATGCAGTGGAGAGAAAAGGAAAACCTTCAGTTACAGAAATTGATCGATGGTTGTTCATAGCATGTGGATGTTTTTGATAATAATAGTGTCTTAACTGCATGCCTGCAATGCAATCATAACACAGAAGAGGCTTTAAATCATAAAATCTTGTAAGGGAAGATTTTTTTTTTTCCCAGAGAAGTCATCCTTCTGTTGCTGTAAGCAGGTTTTATCAGGCGTATCAGGGGTATATAAAAAAAAAAAAAGGTAACTGTAAATAAGCCGCTTGTTTCATGTTAAAACACAGGAAACAGATGACGTGTGAAATAAAGGCTGCCTTTCTCCGTCTACATGCTCATCCTTATTGTCTGCCACATTTATATTTGCCTCTTAAATTAAACAATTTTGTGGATAAGGAATGGTGACATATGTCCAGATTTCAAAATGTTAATAGGAAGTATAAAATTCCTAAATCATTAAAGAATATAGAGTGTAATATATAATCTTTAAGTACATAAAAATAATCTAAGTTTTTAGTGTATTTTGCATTTTTGTTTGAATCTGTCTTTCTCCAAAAGATTAAGAGAGATTAAGACAGATTAAGAAGAAACTTAATTAATATAATCATTCCTCATTAAAAGAAATTATTTTAGCTTTTTTGGGGGGGGGTTCCTTAAAGGAGACGTCACCTGGAAGTTTGACTTTTAAAAATGTTTGCTGTTCAGCTTCAGTTAAAACTTGCTGAAAAAGCTAAAGGTGTGAAAGTGACTTGTTTTATTTTCTGTGTGGGTTTTTTGTTCAAACCAGAACAGCCCACAAAACTGGACTCTCCAAAAAGCATCATTTTGGTCCTCTTCCAGTATTTACATCATTCCTGGACAGGTGTAAACATTAACACGACTTGCTATCACCACTCATCTCTCTATTCCACCGAAAGGGGCGGTTCCAAAATGTCTGGCAGTCACCATCAGCAAGGTTCATCCACATACACACATGTCAAATTGTTGTTCATACCCTCGTAAGAATAAAAGGGTGTATGAAAAAGGGTCAGAATGTGAACTCTGTAATGTTTTTCTCCAAAACACAGTTACACATTAATTTAAAGACAATTTTAGAAGGATTTTAAATGTAAAATACCAGGTTATGACATCATATTTTATCATCTGTCTGCAGTCTTTTACATTGCTGAAATGGTTTGGTTATGAGAAGCCTTTCAGAACATAAATGATTAGTTCATTATAAGGCTTTCAAAAGCTTTCTAATGTTAAGTGTGTGTGTATATTACAGTGTGCACCACTGACTAGAAAGCCTTAGTTCAATAGGATTTTAGGGTTAGTCTGGGTCAAGCCAATTAGAGTTCTGGCAAACCATTCTCACGCCGACCCCTGGCGAATCAGCACAGCCTTGTGTGTTTGAGTGTATTTGAGTGGCATGCAGCAGGGGTGAGAGGTGTAAAGTTTTTCCTGAGGTCACATGCCTAATTTAACCCTATATAGGTAAATATGACTTCACAAAGAGGTGCACAATATCAGGTTTTGGTTATAGGTGTTCGCTGAGCTGTTACAAACTGTAACATTCCAAGCATAAAACTTTAGGATGATGGCAGCATTGAAACAGTTTCGATCCATGAGTCAATTTTTTTGTTTCAGACTCAAAGTGTCTGTTGGTTACAGTACATTTAAAGTAAAAAAGGCATTTATTTTGCCCAATTTCACACACACACACACACACACACACACACACCTGCAGTATAAGATTGTCTGAGTACTTAAACAGAGTATCCGACCTCCAGCTGTGCAGAGGTGATTTAGCTACTATTAGGATGTTAATTTCTAACACACATATACTCTCAGACACATTCTAACACCTTCAAATCGTAAAACGTTTTTGGTGTTAAATTGTTGCATTTTTATTCATTATCATATAGAATATTTGCAGTAAAAGTTGTCAGTATTTTATTTTAAAATAGAGTTGTTGTTTTTTTTACCTTTATTTAGCCGGTTGATGTGCAAAACCATTACATAAAAGGAGAACCTTTATGCTTGCAAAAAGTGTTTAGAAGACCAACTTTTTCAAAAACTCCTTTTCTCTGTTTTTACGATATTCTAACCTTTTTTATATTTAGGCCATCAAGCCATGGGGATGTGATTAATGTCAACCAGTTACTGTGCGCATGAACACACACACGCTCAGTTGCACACATGCACACAAACACATCATTGTATACTGAGCCCAATGTAATCATAATGATAAAGCAGATTGCCTTAACACACAGATGGGCCTCTCAGCAGCTTGTGTGTATGTGTTAGCAAGTCTGTGTGTGTGTTAGTGTAGACAACACTGATTGGATTGCAGATTTATAGAAGAGGATTACTGCAGAAGCAGCGAGAGAACGAGAGAGAGAAAGAGTGAGATGGTTTCAGACACTCACCTCTCATTAACTTCCACCCCCCTTCACCTCGGCTCCCCTTATTCTCAATTATGGACGAACACTCACATATGCACACTTGCAAATATGCACCAGACATTGCAGTACTTAATGTTTTCAATGCCTTATAATCACTCAAACATTTAAAATTGTTTTGATTTACTTTTTTTAAATAAAAAATCAGTAGAAAGTGTTTAGAGAACATTACAATTCTTAAGAGAAAAAGCACAAAGTAATTTTATGTTAATATAAAGTGCTTCAGGAAAACATGATGCAGAAGTTGAATCGGACAAGAAGATGTTGGTTACCCGTGCAAGTACACAAAACACATTCAAGTTAGAACAAATATATAATAATATAATATATAACATAGGAGTTGATTAAGGTTTTTTTTGTTGTTTCCAAATTGATAAAAACAGGCTTTGAAATAGCAAAGAATGCAGGCAGAGATAGACAGAGGAACAGAGATGGGCAGAGACGGTGGGCTCTCCAGCAAACGTGATTATGACTGGATGTGAATTAGATTCCCTAACAGATGGTCCAGGAGCGAGGCTGTAAGGTGCATGAGCAGGAGTGAGGGGAGGGGGAGGTGGAGGGAGGAGGCCATGGGGGAAAGATAGACAAAATCAGGCGAGTAAACTGAAAAGACAAGTGTCAACTGCAGCTTGTGTCAGACTGAAAATGTGCCACTATAAAATGTGTGCATTTCCTCTGGTCCACAACTAGTTTGCACAATAATAATTCATATGCATTTGTGACGCTTTTAGATCTGTGTAAGTGATTTATATGAGAATTTGCTTTTATTTTATTTTATTGATCTGGAGCAGTTTAGTACATAAATATAATGAACTGATATGATATCAATAAATATATGGATCCTTGATACACAAAAGAAAAAATGTTGGCGTAAATAAATTTTTTCTAGTTTTACAACCTTCATGTTCAGAATATTGCACAGAAATGTGAGAAGTGAGCACCCAAATGTGGCATGTTTAGGATGTATTTCTTTCATTTTTCCAGGTGCTGTGCATTATTCGACTACTCTGACTCTTATAGTGATGGATAGGTGTAAATCATCGCAGTCCTGTAGTGACAGCCCAATTTCCCCAAATCTGATCTGCTTAAAGAATGCAGCTGTGACGCTCCATTCACTGCTGCACTCTTTCCTTTTATCGTCTCTTCCGTTCTTCTTTCCAACATTTTCTTTCCTGTTATATTTCCCTTTCCCCCCTCTTCCTCTATGATTTGATACTATTTAGCTATATACACTTCCTCCCTGTTTCTTTATCTTTTTTCCACCATGGTATTTCACTCTTTTCCTATTTCCCTCTTGTCTCCTCTCTTCCTTTAACCCCCCCGTATATCTCCTCCTCCCATGTCACATTTGAAAGCCCTGCCATATTTACTAGAGTGAAAATCCTCTCTCACCATCTGCTTAATAAAATGTGCTTTTAATCTGATGGAGGGATATTTTGTTCCTAAATACTTTATTATTTTATTTTCCAACAGTTTCATTGGTTGTGGCAACTTGCCCAGGTCCCTGTCTTTCTTTTTATAAAAGGAAGAGTTGGGGGAAGTAAACAATATATTCTGCACAAAATGATGACTTTGTGTACGTGTGTGCTTTGATGTGAACTAATATGACAGTTTCAGAGTTTTTACACACATAACACTTAGCAATAACAATATTCACCCGCACAGTTACATACAACCTTCATCAATGTCCCCTCTTATTTATTTTTTATTTTTTTTACAAAGGGTGAGCTCAACGGTAAAGTATATCACTTCACAAACGGATCCCATCAATTTTAGTTGTAGTATCACTTTTGTATACAATTTAAAAAATGGAACATAAATTTGTGATTGCATCTTTCCTTTAAAATAATGATTTATGGCTGGCAACATTGGGCATCTTCTATAAAAGTTTACATAACAGGAGGATGGCTGAAGTAATTTCATTGATTTTTAGGTCTGCAGTTTCTCCTGTAAAAGGCTGGAGGTCACTGCAAGTACATAGTAAGCTATTTAGGTGCAGCAGGTTTATTTATTTATTAAATAAAAATTTTAAGGTAGATCGCAGATTCCTCACATCCAAGGAGGAACTTGGATGTAGGACTATTTTCTTTTCTTCTTTTTTGCACCTTTTTATTTGTTTTGTTTTATTTGAAGAACTGTTGGCACACCAGACTGCCAGCACAGTGACGTGAACCAGATAAAGGAGACACAGAGAGAGAAGGAGAGGGAAGGAAAAAGAGACACGGTGACAAAGATAGTGCCTGGCTGCAGCACACTTATCAGCAACTGCTCTCCAAGAAAACAAACTAAATCATCAAGATTCCCATCAGAAACACATGCACCACCCCTCAGCCCCCCATAGAGACACACACCTACAGATATAAAAAGTCCATATTTTAGCTCTTAATATCTTTGTCATAATATATACTTCAGGAACACTAATACAGCTGGATTAT